GCTCACATCGCGCAGCTCTCTGATCAGCTGAGCGCATTGTCCAGACAGCTCTTCGATAGTGGAGGCGATGGATGCGGATTGTGGAAGTGTTGGTGTTGACGACCTGCTCGTCCAATGGGGCTTCGGGCATCTCGCCGAGACCTTCAAAGGTATGTCGCAGTCTCACTTCACGTTTCACCATCACTAACTTCTATGATCTGGTGACTTATTTTCATGTTACTTTGTTATACAGACCAGAGTATTGATTTAGAGGCGTTACTGGAATTGGATAACAATGGCTTAAAGGATTACCTACCTCTCCATGGTGATCGCCTAAAGTTTTTAAAGCAGCAGAGGAACTTCAAGGAACAGGTATTTTTTTATATTTTTTCATTTCCATGTAATGTTTCACGCAGCATTTTGAATGTTTTTTTGGGTGGGAGCAGGCGTGTTGTAATCAGTTGGTGTTATTTTCTTTTTGTCTTATCTGTGTTTCTCTTAAGGCTGGAGGGGTTGAGGTTCTACTGCTTGAGAAAGTTGCAAGCCATTCTGATTCGCAAGCGTTCGAACCAGCTGAGGAGTCTACCTCATCGACTTCGTCCTCTTTCACTGCTGTACCACCGTCCATGAATCCTTCGTCCTCTTCACTCAGTCAGAACAATCTTGAGTACTGTGATTTGGTACTCAAAGATACATTAGTGGAGTCAGCCCTTGCAAAACTAGTAAGTAGGTTTCATATTGTTTGTGGTAGATGTGTCGTAACTTTTCCTTATGTTTTGCATTGGTCATTTTCAGAATGTGTTGGAAATACTGAGGAAAGATACTGTCTGTCTAAAGGCCATTGAAAAGCTGTGCAGTGGTCAGCGACCCACTGGAGACTGGAGGAACCGTATTGTTGACGTTTTAGTCACCACTGGTTTACTGCATATTTCTGAAGAGTAAGTTTAATCGACCATTTTAATTGATAAACATAGTCAATGTAGTTAGACATACTTCATTTTAAATATATCGTAATAACAGTTTGATTATTTACATCAACTGAAGTGGAGTTTTTACATACTGTTTCTACGAATTACTTGGTTACAGCTTATCACTAACGCAACTGAAGTCGGTGGCTGGAGAAATAGTGAAATGCCTTCCTGGGGAACAATTGGAGACCTACTATTTGGATGCTGACCCACCATTACGAAAATTTGTAGGAGGGAAGCTGGTTGACAAATACCGTAATCGGAAAAGAAGCTCTGATGACCCTTTGAAGCCTGCCAAAAGGAGAAGAGGAGCTCAACAGCAACAAGATACCCCTCCACCTCCAACTACAAGTGAGTTCATGTGTAATATACATACTGTCAGTGTACTATAATGTTGCTATCGCAGATGAACTTGGTGGGGTTGTTGTTCTTCCTGTTTAACACCTCGGCGACGTGCCGGCGGAGCGCCTACCGGAGTGTCTTCTTCACCTCCGCAAGGTGCAGCTGCAGGGCGCGGGCGCGCGGGAGCACCTGCCGGAGTCTCTTATTCACCTCGGCGAGGTGATGCTGCTGGCGGCGGGCGCGGGCGCTGCCGGGGGCACCTGCTGTAGTCTCTTGTTCACCTCGGCGAGTTGGTGCTGCTGGTGGCGGACGCGGGCGCTGCCGGGGCCACCTGCTGCAGTCTCTTGTTCACCTCGGCGAGGTGGTGCTG